TGTTTCTTTCTCGTTCTTCTTGTTTCTTTTCTTTTTCCTCCAACAACTGCTCTAATCTTTCTTCTTGTTTCTTTCTCGTTCTTCTTGTTTCTTTTCTTTTTCCTCCAACAACTGCTCTAATCTTTCTTCTTGTTTCTTTTCTCGTTCTTCTTGTTTCTTTTCTTTTTCTTCCAACAACTGTTGTAATCTCTCTTCTTGTTTCTTTTCTCGTTCTTCATGTTTATTTTCTCGTTCTTCTTGTTTCTTTTCTCGTTCTTCTTGTTTATTTTCTCGTTCTTCTTGTTTCTTTTGCTGTTCTTGTATTGGTGCCATCAAGTCTGCTAAGCTGTAGTTTGATTTTTCGCTTCTGGTTTCCATTATTTATTTGTGTCCCACTCTCTGACACCAATTTGTTACGTCTCCGTTCGTTGGTTAATTTTCCGTAAAATTCGTTCCGACGAAACTTTAGCGACACAAGTCCTTTCTTAAATAAAACTGGTTTATTCTTTCCAAGTACAACTTTACGATACAATTAATTTCAACAGTTGCTCTATAACAAATGCTATAACTCACAACAAACGTCTCACGTGGCCAACAATATTCTGTCTGCATACATTCAATTACTCATTACCTTCTCCCGTCACGTTGTGACCGTCTTATATATACAAGATTAACACATATCTAGTAAACGCTAGAGCATTCATGAAGGAACAGGATATTTCTAGAAGGAGGTGGCATGATACTAGTCACGTGACCTCGTTGACACAACAATAATTTAGTTTTGCTTCTTGTGAAAAAAATCAGATAAGTAATCTACTTTCAAATGTTACACAGTAGGTACTAAATACTAAACAAATGAGTTTATTTTAATGCAATATATTCTTTAATATCTTTCTTTAGTAAAAAGTATTTATGGATTAGAGCTATTGATTTTTATTCTTTTTAAGATTATTCATTTTGATAATAAAGTTAGAAACAAACAACCTTTATTTTAACAGACGTTCTGTCTTTGCGGCTTTTTTGGGACTTGTACATAAAACTGTTTGATATTAGAACATTCATTACATTATAAAACTTCTTGTAAGATTATTGGTTTATAAGGAGTGGAGGAGCCATGAGTGCAATATGGAAAAAATATTCTGGTTACACTGTTAATGTATTGCTATGAATATATAAAGTGATATCATACGATATCATACTTCTACTCTTTACTAGCACTGCCCTCTATTGGTGCACATTTTCAACACACTTCACTAGCCTTACACCTCCCGCTTCTGTATACAAATGATCATGCAACAGCTCTCCACCAATAGGAGTGTGACATCATGCCTATCGTAACCAGTGCTCCCTTCATATCTGTACTTGTTAATCATTTCTCGATTGGCAGTGGCACTGTACAGATGTGCTGGCTTTTGCTTGTTGGTTTGTCTACATTTTCCGTTATACTTCTGACTTAGTTTTTCTTTACTATTTATTGAAATTTTTGTGTTTTGGTATTTTGAAAGGTTGCTTTTTTTTAAGATTTTTTTGCTAGTATATTATGGATACTACTGTGTGGCAAGTAGTGCTTGACCAGGTATAAGTTTTTTTAAATCCACACTGTCCATCCTGTGACTATACTCGATGTCAATTACATTGTAGCTTTTCCTACCATGGATCTGATTTACAATTCCAGATGACGCTAGGTGTTGGTGGTGTGTCTCCATTCTATTGTAATCTATGACTAAACATTTACATTGCAGGTTTGGGTTATGCATGGCGTAGAGATGGGGTATTCCATAGGATTGCTAGTAGTTCTTTCTAGTGGTTTTTTGCTTCATAAATGTGTTCATCCCAGACCGTACACTCATAGAACATGAGTAAAGCAGACAGAGATTACTGCCCATTTCTGCTGCTCAGTGGCATTGAATCTCTTCCTGCTGTACAATTCCAAATGCTGCCTGGTTTTGTTTGATTCACTCTGTCAATCTGTTAGCTCTGCTTTTCAAAATAGGTATCACGGTCACCCATTGCACTGTCTCTAGTGATGCAGTCCACCATGTTTTTCCTGTCTTTCCTCTAGTTTAGTATGGGAGTCCTTACCACTTACCGGTTCTTAGCCGCTGGGGCAGTGGATAATGGAGGACTACCCTCTTGAGTGATGAATCATACCACTGAGTAGTCGGGCGGTGGCATTCTACAGGCGTCGCTGGTGTATAGCACTTCCTACTGTGAACCTGATCTACAATTTCAGATGCTGCCAGGTTTTGGTTGTAGCACTACACCAAATTCCAGTCTATATATCTGACCGATTGTTTTTTCCTACCATAGCATTCCTCCTTCCTGCCATCCTGTGGATGTACATTCCTGGTGGGTCTGGTTTTGGTTAAAGATGGCCTGGTCGTGATTAGTGTAGATGGCATGATGCCCTTCCTACCACAGACCTGATGTACAATTCCAGGTGGCATCATAATTTGGTTGAAGCACTTCATCATATCACAAATATATATAATTGCAGTTTGCCTCTCAGGCTGAGACATTCCTCATACCTACCGACATTCAGATGTACGTTCCTGGTGGGTTCATTGTTGGTTGGAGATGGTCCAACTCAGTAAATCCTCTTGTGTGTGTGTTAGCCAATATCCCTTCTCCTACCGTGGACTGAATGACAAATGCCACTGCCACCAGGTTTTAGACTGGAGATTCACCCCAGGTTTGCAGTTCCTCATCCTACCATCTGCAGGATATTGGTTGTAGTTGGACACAGCACATGTTTCCCTGCTTGTGTATGGCTGGATATCCTCCTTTTACTGCAGACTGGAAGTACTATATCCATTGCCGTCAAGTTTTCGACCAGAGATGTCATCCCGCCAGGGCTTTTCACCTTCCTTCTGTCAGCTGGATGTCAGTTACTGTCAAATCTGGTGTTGGTTGTGTTGGAAATGCATTCAAGTGGATTTTGGTATGGAAGCTTGTGTTCCCTACCATTTTGAGGTGAAAAAGTAGGTGTTCCTCAACCTACCGCAGATCTGATGTACCATTCCAGATACTATTTGGTGTTGGATGAGATCGAACTACCACTACAGTCTATTGTGCCTTAGCCACTTGACACTCTGGAGTCCCAGTTGTTGGTCATACGTATTCTGGGATTCCTTCATGTTTTTTCAGCCTTTTATGTATGTTCATGACACTGTCATAAAAGAATGATGAATATACGTGAATCAGATGTGATGCAGTCTTCTGCTGAGGTGTGATGTTTTCTCTTTTGGTTCCACACCTCCTGGTCTCTCTTTGGATGTTTCCTAAAGGGGGATTTTTTTTGTTTATTTTAGTTGGCCCATATCAGTTCAATGTGGGATTCTAGCTATATTGGAAGATAGCATTTTTCCTAAACTGAAAATGTATTTCTGATAGATACTTACCTCTTCTCACATTTCCCACCCAGCCTCCCCACTTCCAATGATATATGGTGTAGGTCTTCTGACCAATCTCAAAGTGCAGATGTGAAGAAGGTGCTAGTTATGATAGAAGTGGTGTTGCTCTCTTATTGGTGGAGAGCTGCTGCAAGATCACCTGCATGTAGAAGCGGAAGTTAGAAGGCTAGTGGCACACATTGAAAATGTGCATCAATAGAGGGCAGTGCTAGTTGAGAAAACCTATTTTGTGAGAGGCGGTAAGTATCTATCGGAAATACATTTTCAGTGTAGGAAAATTCTAACTTCTGTTATTCAAAATCACTAATGAGAAAATTAATTTATTATAACTCGTGCTCAGACATCTTTATAAATATGTATTTTTTTATCTTCAACTAAGCATGTATATGTTTATAATGATTTTAAAGGAGGGAAAATGGTATTCTTGGTATTTGTTTCAGATATAATGATAGCAAAAGTAGCTTTATTTCTTCATTTGCTGTAGTTGTGATAATAGTAATGTTTCAATTACAATTTTATTGCATCTCCTTTAGAATGGGAGAAACCTTTACCTGATTTATGTATACTCTCAACAAGTTATCAGTGTCATGTTTGGTCCATATTATGACTAAAGATTTTTTATTATTTTAATATCACATATTGATAATTTTCTATTTGAGCTTGTACGTAGAAATATTTTTCAGTGAGGCATAACAAAATATGAAGCTTCACTTTATATATGTCTCACTGTTTTTGTTTTTAGAGTGGTTAATCATTTTCCAAACCATTATGAACTCACAAGAAAAGATTTATTAGTGAAGAATATAAAACGATACCGTAAAGACCTTGAAAAGGAAGGAAACCCTATAGCAGAGAAAGATGAAAATGGAAAATATGCCCACCTTGGTAAGTACACAAGATGATGAATAGAAACATTCTGTGGAGCTGTATGTTTTATATATGTATTGTATTTCATGTTTTTGAGGAAATCAACTACTCATACTTTATTTTATTCAAGTACACATTAGTGAAACCCTTATTATACACACGTTGTACAGGATGGTACCGTGTGTTTGTTTTACCCTTAAGTTGATATGTACATTTTTTTGAAATTTCAGTATTTTCAGTGACTTCCATTTGAAAGTAGAAAATTGCTCAAATAAACAATCTATTTATAATTGTGCCCTGGACCTGGTTCACTAATTGGTCATTATCTGTGTTTTCTTGGAAGAAAGATAACTTGTGATTTTTCCCAGAATAGAAGGCTGTCTTCTCTGTTGGGGAACTGGGTTGTGGCTTAGGGCTGCCCCATCTTTGAAATGGAATTGCAGTGGACAAAAGGTCATGTTCACAAAGAGTATTCCATGAGCAACCTGGCTTTGTTGGTGATATTGCACTTTGTACTTAAAGCCAGGCTTTCTTCTGTAACAGCAACTTTTGGCAAGACTTTTACCTTAACTGTTATCTTCGCTTAAGTGAATTTGTTAGACTAGATTTTCTTGTTTAGCTTAATATTGACTTGTTTTGCAATAATTTTTTTATTGTAAGTTTATTTTGACTTTCTTATTATTTAATGTATAGGAGGGCTCACACTTCATTGAAAACAAATCTATTAAAGGCTTCTTTTACAAGTTCGACAAAATCACCATAAACACTTGCTCTTGTTTTATTTTGTTGTATAGTGTTTGTACTGTTATTAATTTTATACATTAAAGATTGTGGTTTTTGCATTCTTGTGTTTTGACAGAGTCTTTGTAAACAGACTGAGTTTTCAGAGTAAAGAACTTACACTCTGTAATACTTAATGTTCATTGGTCCTTCTTTTTAGCAGACTTTTTATACTGTTCCCCAGGAAATCCGTGAATCATAATATACCATGCACATTTAAAAAATAACAAACTTTGTACTGTTAAAAAACTTTGTGAAAAGTTTTCATTAAAGTTTATGATAGTAAATGTAGATGATTGAACCAAGTCTTCATGTAAGGCCATTTTAAACAGAAATCAGTACATATTCTATCAATCTTATGTTTTTTTTATAGGTAGGTCAATATATTTGTGACAATTATTTGTAGAGTCAGTTTGAGGATACATTTATCAAAAATGAAGTGAATGAAAATAATCGTGATAATGCAAATATTGTAAAACATTAAACATTAGAACTGAGGCATAATCTGGAGGTAGCAAAGGCAACCAAAGTGAATAAAGCCTGTTTTTATAGAATTGTGGTAGAGGATGGTACCATGTGTTTTCTGTTCCCTTAGTTAATGTGTACATTTTTTGAAGTTTCTGTACTTTCAGTTCAATTTGGACATGAAAAGTAGTTCCAATAAACACATCTTAACTTTGCTTTTCTTGCTAGCTCTTTAGCTCTGTCTGGGAACTCTTTGCTAATTGGCAATTAACTGAGTCTCTTGCAGGGAAGATAGCTCATCCAGGAATATAAAGCTTTTTTTTTTCTTTAAACAAGTTGAGTAATGAATGGCTCAGGGTCTTGCTCTGCCCCAGCAGTTGATCATAATTGGGGCAGAGATCACATGCAGAGTAGTGTTTCATGCACAAACCTGGCTTAAGTTGTTATTGTATGTTTTCTATTAAATTTAAGGTTCTCCTTTGTTTACCAACTTTTTTCAGAGATTTTGCTGAACTTTTAAACTGTAACTCTAGCTTTATTTTCGATCTTGTGTGTTTAATGTAACTGAACTGAGATTTTGGTAAGATTTTTCACTTAATGTTTTTTACAGCTTTTTTTTGAGATTTTACTTTGATTATAAATTTAACTTTATGTTAGAGTTTACAAAATTATTTTATTTACGTTACAGTGTTTTATTCTAACTTTATGTTTAACTTAAATATTATGTGGTTCTAGTTTACTAAAGATGGGGCACACACTGGACTGGTGAGAGAGAGCTCATCAGTATTTTCACTTCCTTTCTCTTTTGCCAGTCCAACACAGTCACAACAGAGGCCCTTGTTTTACTGTTTATAATTGTATTTTTGTCTTTATGCACCTCTCCTAATTCTGTTCTTTTTCCTGAGGAACTTGGTTGGAGCTTAGGGGGATAAACAGATAGGTACTCTATAATGTTTTTTTCTTTTGATCCTCCTGTTAGTTGGCCCTAACTGATTACTTGAGGGAAATATTTGAGTTGGAAAAATGTTACAAAAATTTACTGTGGTAAGAAAAGATAATCAGGAAGCCTCTTTGAGTCATAGGCACTGCTTTTAAGAGAGTGGACAAACAACAAGAAATGCTGGTCTAAAATGTTACAGCTCATTCTAAACTTGATTTGAAAACCATCTACCCCCTTCTCAGCATGAAACCTTGCTCAACTTTCTTTTCGTTATTTCAATAACATTTTCATCAGGAAGTGAACATGACTTCATTGTTGCCCTAGAATGTGTTGGATTTTAAATTCAGGTTTATTATTTAATTTTTTATACCTTAGGGTAATATAAAAACTCAACCTCTTGCAAGTATAGAATCATGAATTCTTGTTATTGATGTTAATTTTCTTTATTCTGTCAACACATTTATTTTGTATATTTTTGACTCAAAGGGAACGCTTCTACAGTGTTTTTTGTTAATGAACCATATATCAAGGTATTGATCACAATTTTAATATATAGCTTGTTAGTAAGTAAGTAATTTATGTTTGTTGTAGTGAGCTAAACCCAAAGTGAAAATGTGGATTGACATAGACTGATAAGTGTAATCTGTGAAATAGGTGGAGTTAACTGGTCAGTAGCAAGCATTTTGAAGCTAGTTTAGATAGTCTTTGATAAATGTATTATCAGTTTAGAAAAGAAGTTTTCAAAAAGTGCAGGATATGGCAAAAGAAGAACTGGGTGATTGATCCAATTAGAAAAGAAATGTAAATGACACCTGGAATAGATATTTGTTCCAACTGTGTAGTTTCAAAAAAATGCATCCCTTCTGAGTATTGCACTAAAACTAAAAGATCATTCTGAAATGAGAAGCAAATGCAACTATTAAGAAAGCTACTGTTTAAATTAATAGGTATTGTAAAATATTTCTTAGCACAAAACTTTATTATGAAGGGAAAAAAATGTCTAAAATATGAAAAAAAACTTTCTAGTATTTTTATTTCCCCTAATGAAGAAAGATACTTTAACTGAGAATTCATTTGTTGAAAGTGGATAAGATCTTTCTTTAGGTATTGTTGTTGAAGAAAAGTTTAAGAATAAGTTTAAAGTAAAATTTTGGCCCTGATGGTTTTTATCCTGACATTTTGAAAAGCCTGATTAAGTAGGCGGTGAGGAGTTAACAGTATATTTCATAATTAAAATGTTTGATCACTAGAAGATTCTTGATTGTTGGAAGATTGCTTATGTGATCTTTACTTTGTAAAATGGAAAGGCTTGAAGAAATTCTGGGAAATTAAAACCAATTAGTTTGACTTCATGGTTACATTATATATTATGAAACTCGTTTAGGAAAACAAATATGGTTTATTTTACTTCTTAAGTAATTGAATGTAATGTACTTCACTATTGTTTGCATTAAAGTAGGTTTTAAACATGTATATCCCTTGTGCATAATGGCATTGGAAAACAAAGGAATATGGATCAACTAGGGGTGCTAGGACCATCCAGAATGTGACCTGCAATAATTCATACCTTTGCCATGGTAAACAAAGTGCAACATCTTATAACTGGTGAGAATCCTTGAACATAAAAATCAGTGACACAGTGACAAAAGTCATCCATGTGTTTCTAGGCAACAATATGCAACATAGTCAAGAAGGATCTCAGTCTGGAAAAGTATACTCAAGCTGCTTGCATGAAATATTCATTCAACCATCAGATACTTCAAGCAGCTGGAGAATGACAATGATATTCATATCATTCCATACGAATACATATGAGTCAAGTGGCTGGATGCAGCATCTATGTATTTCTGTGTGATTGGACTGTTTAATATTATTGTCCTCATACAGTAGATGGATTATGGAATGCAAGCAGGGAGAGTAATGTGCTTTAGATAGGACAGCCTTATATTGAAGCCATTTGCAATTGAAATTACATTGAAAGGCTGCTGTCAAGATGCACAGTTGTCACTAGAGCATGACTGGATATTGGTGACAATAACTCCAACAATGTAGTGAGGCTCCAAAATCGTGTAATATGATATTCATAACCTTTTTATTACATGAGAATGTGAGGAATGAGTTTTTTCCTCATTCTTCTCCTTTAGGAGTCTTTATTTCAGTAGATTCATTGTTTTTTTATCTTGTCCTGTGGTATATATGTATGCATGTTTGCCCTTTTCTGATGTCTACTTTGTTCATCATTAGGTGGGGTCTCATATTTCTTTATGCATGGAATACCTTTATAAACTAGAGTTGTTGCTTTGATGGATTTATTTACAGCATTTTAGTTTGTACTGAATAGTTTTATCTCATTTCTATAACCAAAACGTTGTCAGAGGAAACAGTCAATGTGGAGCAGTCATCTGTGATCTTGCAGTTTACTTTTGGGTCACCTAGTTTTTGCATGCATGGAACTTCGTGGTTTTATTACTTCCTTTTTCATGTTTGTATACATGAATAAATACATGATTTACTGATTAATGGCTATTTTGAGGTTAATTAAATACTCTGTCTGTGGTCATTTTGTGGCTTGATTTCTGCATAGTTATTTTTAGGCTAAATAAGTCATCTTTGGCTACTTTGAAGCTGAACCAAGTTTCATGTTCTTTTATAACTTCAAAGTGATAGATTTAACTACAACACATTTAAACAAGAAGTTCCTTATAAACAGCACGCATGATGCTACAAATGTAAGAATAACAACTTGGATTACTTGTTAATAACAAGATTTTGTGATAGTGATAATAAAGGAGTTATTTTTAAACTTAATTACTAGTAATATGTAGTTTTGACTTTACAGAAATATGATTCTTTAAAGAAAAGTTGTTATTTAAATGCTGTATTTTTTGGTACTATATGTTGTTTCGTGTGAAATGTCCATTAACATACATTTTTCTATACACTATAATATCTAAGGAAAACAAGACAACAAAACACTGAGGTATTCCTACCTTATTACATTATAACTTTTTCTTTTCTGTGACATCAGCACCATTTTTATTTGTACTACTGTTGTATTTGAACCTTCTTTTATTTTCAGATTTTCTACCAGTTACGTTTATATTGCCAGCAGATTACAACATGTTTGTTGAGGAATTCCGAAAGAATCCTTCAAGCACTTGGATCATGAAACCTTGTGGAAAATGTAAAATCACATAAATGTATCTTTTTATCTAAGCAAGATAAGTCATTATGGGTTAGTAGTTTTGTGAATGGTTTATGAATCTCAAAAACAAAAACTAGACACGCAACTGATGTTCAAAATAGAGCTTTAAAAGTTTTGGATGTTGTAAACATTTATCTGTTGTTATTGAATTCTGTTTGATTATGTGTAATAGCTAGTATATATATATATACGTTTGTATATATCTATGTTCATGTGTGTTTTTACATCTACTTAGCTCAAGGTGTGGGTATCTTCCTAATAAACAAGCTTTCCCAGCTGAAGAAGTGGTCTAGAGATGGACCAAGGTAATGGTATCAAAATAAGTATAAAAATATTTTGGCAATAAAGTTAGATTAAAGAAATGACCTCTACTCATTAGATATTTATAAAAAACTTTACTTTAGCCAATGTTTCACTCTTGCGGCTTCATCAAGGCTTAGTAATACAAGAACTGTTGTTTAACTACTAGCCCTTATGTAGCTGCAAGCACAGAAATCTTGGCTGAAATAACGTTTTTTGTTATTATTATTTGGAGAGTAAAGGTTGTTTTTTTCTCTAACTTTATTGCTAAAATGTCTAAATTTCTCCAGTACACACTACAGATTCTGAAAAACATACACTAATACTTTAAGGTGTATCCTTTTTTTTTTTCATATCGAGAAGGTGAAAATTTGAACAGTTCTATTAATTTTGGAATACAATACTGAATTTGTATTTGATTATAAAGAGTATAAATTTTAACAGTTTTTTTAGCAATTTAATGTTTTATTAAAGATAGTTTGAAACTACCTTTGTGTTTTAAAATTTGTCATGCTGAATTTTGAACAGGAAGTATCCTTTAATGGCACAGCTGTTATTTATGTGTATTTAAGTTTTTGCTGAACAACTCATCCATTTTTGAGCACCTCAGTGACCCTACATATGCAGATAAAACACCATGTAGTTCTTATAAATCATGTGGTAAAGAATCAAGGGCTAACTAGCTAGTTAATAAGTTCAGAACTTATTTTGATGTAGTCTTGTTAACCAGAGCTATCCTGGATACATATTTCTTTGTAGTTTCAACCCAGCAGCAGTGAAGGAATCTTACGTTATCTCACGATACATTGACAACCCTCTTCTTATTGGTGGAAGAAAGTTTGATATTAGGATCTACGTTCTTGTCATTTCCTTTCGTCCTCTAAAAGCATACTTGTAAGTATTCTGTAAAAGTTTCTAACGTTATTTTTTACTTTAGTATGTTTTTATTAACTTTCAATCGGAGCAAAACCTAAAATTTAACCTGGTAGTGACTATAGCTAATTAAATATACTTTCCTTACATTTTTACTTAAAAATATTAGAATACATTGCTTCATCAGTTGGGTACCCGTGCTGTCAACGATAATTTCGGCCGTAATCCCGCTAATACCTCACGAGGCTTGGCCAGAATAGTGTTACGTCTCCGTTTGTTAATTAACTTTCCGTAACTTCGTTCCGACGAAACTTTAGCGACACAAGTCCTTACTTAATAAAACTGGTTTATTCTTTCCGAATATAACTTTATGATACACTATAACAACGCTATAACAACGAACGTGCTCAATAATACTCTCTGACTGCAGATCAATTACTCACTGTCTACACACACATTATTGTTCCATCATGTTGTCACCCTCTTTTATATACCAGACTCCCCTATATCTAGTAAATGCTAGAGCATTCGCCAAGGTACAGGATAGTTCTAGAAACGTGGCGTGACACTAGTCATGTGACTTCGTTGACGCAACAATAGGAAATTTAGCTTAGTCCTAGATACATATGCTTATCTAACAATACAAAATAATTTTTATAATAAAAAAATATAATAACAGTGATAAACAACAGTGGCAGCTCGAACAACAAAATAAACAAGAAAAGAAACAAGTAGAACGAGAAATTAAACAAGAAGAGAGATTACAGCAGTTGTTAGAGGAAAAAGAAAAGAAACAAGAAGAACGAGAAATTAAACAAGAAGAGAGATTACAGCAGTTGTTGGAGGAAAAAGAAAAGAAACAAGAAGAACGAGAAATTAAACAAGAAGAGAAATTACAGCAGTTGTTAGAGGAAAAAGAAAAGAAACATGAAGAGAGAGAAATTAAACAAGAAGAGAAATTACATCAGTTGTTGGAGGAAAAAGAAAAGAAACAAGAAGAACGAGAAATTAAACAAGAAGAGAGATTACATCTAATTAATGAAGTAAGTGGTA